CTAATTGTAAACAAAACACACTAATTATAATTCTAAACATTAAATCCCTAATTATAAACAAAACGCACTAATTATAATTCTAAACATTAAATCCTTAATTGTAAACAAAACATACTAATTATAATTCAGAACATTAAACCCCTGAATGTAAACAAATAAGTCCGTGAGTGTAGACAGAACACTTTGATTACATTTTCAAACCTGAATAATAATAATGACTAATAATACTGACATTCCTGAGTGTGAGATCGATTATATTAATTGTAATGCTCATTTTGTAATCGACTCAATGTAAATCTTCGCCTCCTCAGCAGAGGTAAACACCCGCGTGTTACCCTCAAACGTGATCTTCAGCCGGGCCGGGTGGAGCAGGCCGAACCGAACCCCCTCGATGTCCCGCAGCTTGCGACGACATTCCGTGAAGGCCGCCCGCGCCCGGGCCGTTTTGGCAGTGTAGTCAGGGAAAACGAAGATATTCGTACCGTTCACTTTGACCCGCTGCAACTCCCTCGCCTTCGCCAGGATTTTCACACAGTCCGCTTGGTAGTGAAACTTAGCTACAATCGGACGGGCCCGCTCGCCTGCTTTCGGTTTGGGGGCTGGGATGCGATGAGCGCGGTCCAGCAGCGGTTCCTCCTCGAGGTCGAAGGCCTCCTTTAGCATCCGAGATACCGCAGCCGTTGTCGCCGCTGATGGGTCATCCTCCGGAACACCAATGATGCGGATGTTCTGACGTCGAGACCGGGACTCCAGGTCATCGCACTTATCCTCCAACTGTGCCACCGTCTTAGTAAGGACGTCAACTGTTTTCTGGAGGTTCACGATGTCGTCAGTGCAGGTGGAGACGGACTTCTCCACCTCTGTTACCGTTAGCTTTAGCCCCGTGAAGCTCTCCTGCACCGCTGCTAGCCCAGACGATAGCTCCTTTTTGAAGGCGGACAGCTCGGCATTAATCGACGAGAGACTTTCACCCAGAACAGCATGGAATTCTGCTTTAATTATAGCAGCAAGGTCCTCTCGGAGAGCTACAAGTATTTCTTGCTTAAGGCTGCTGACGTCGCCCTCAGACGGAGGAGGTGATCCAGGACAGCTCGAGGCTTCACTACGAGGATTAGGCCGCAGGTGAGCGTGGATCGAACTTACCCCTTTAGTCGGTTTTGGTGGCATTTTAATGGCAAAATAGGAGGATTATGTAAAGTGTGTAAGTTAGATATTGTTTGCTGTCGGACTCGGGAAAAAGTGCCCAGGCATTAATCAGAGAAAAGGCTAATTCTGTAGGAGCACACCCAAACACACCTTATCTCACCGCCATTCAGCCGGAAGTCGTATGTGAATGTTTTTGTTCAGCGCTCTAAGACAACTTCTGTTGTGATTTGGTGCTATATAAATAAATTGAATTTAAATGAATTTCATTAAAGTGTTGCAGCAGCACATCCACTTTCTCCAGTCTTTTTTCCAAAGCAATGCTTCTGTTACTGTTCCAAAATGGGCTTTTTTGGTACATTAAGATTTGAAATTAAAGTATAGAAGAGCTGGCCAGCACGGATTTTAAACCAACTGCTAATTGTATATAAATGAGGAGTTATTTTAATATAGATTTAAAGTTTGTAACAAATTGACTTCACACAGAAACTAAAGTAAAAGTCAAATTAGTAAGATATGATGATATGGAGTGGAGTCACATTTAGCATGCAGACAGCATGACTTTATTTTTTATTATTATTCCACACGTGCACGCGTTGCATTCCTGCTGCAAAGCCAGACAAAGTTGGTTCGTCACCTACTGGAAAATGAGTTGGGTGTGACTGAAAAGAGGCAGCACTTACTTGAAACGCTCCGGGGTGAGGAAGTTAAGCAGATGGAACAGCTCCTCCAGGTTGTTCTGCAGGGGAGTTCCAGTGAGCAGCAGCTTGTAGTAGATCTTATACCCGTTGAGGATTCTGAAAAACTGAATTGAAGCCAAATGATTCAAACTCCAACTTCCTTTCACCAAAACTAACGGCGTTTATTTCACGGTTTATTTTGCAGTCTCAGCTCCCGACACAAACAACAGCTTTTCACCTTTGATTGGTTGTTTTTCAGTCTGTGGGCCTCGTCTACAACCAGACAGGCCCAGGTGACGGAGCCCAGAATGGCTTGATCTATAGTGATCAGCTCGTAAGAAGTCAGCAACACGTGGAACTTGATAGGAGTGTCTTTCTGCAGGAGGACGACGAGAAAGAAGACTGTTAACTGTTTCTAACTGAGCATAATGATAAAAAAATAAAATCCAACCCCATTCATCTGTCCATTCATACAAAAAGAGGAATGGTGTTTTCTGTGAAAATGCAGTGTGAACATGTGTTGATGAATTGATTCTTTATTGAATTGTTACTTAAAACAAGCAAAACAGAAGCTAAAATCAACTAAACCATAGCTAAAAGCTAAAATGATCAAAAAAGAAGATTAAAGTAAATGTGAACGCATAAGTAGCTAAAATCTAAATGTAGGAAAACATTTTCTAAACGCTATATTTAGCAACATTAGCTAACAGTTAATATTAGTAAAACTGTAGCAAAAAGCTAAATATATCAAAACAGCTGCTAGAAGATAATTGTATGCAGCTAAAAATGAAATCAGCTGAACTTTAGCTAAAATGGGCAAAACTATAGCTGAAATCTAAAATTTGTCAAATTGTAGCTAAAAGATAAAATTAGCACAAAAAAGAAGCCTAAAACTCAAGTGAACGCATAAGTAGCTAAAACCTAAATGTAGGAAAACATTTGCTAAACGCTATATTTAGTAACTTTAGCTAACAGTTAATATTAGTAAAACTGTAGCAAAAAGCTAAATATATCAAAACAGCTGCTAGAAGATAATTGTATGCAGCTAAAATGAAATCAGCTAAACGTTAGTTAAAATGGGCAAAACTATAGCTGAAATCTAAAATTAGTCAAATTGTAGCTGAAAGCTAAAATTAGCAGCAAAAAAAGCTTAAAACTCAAGTGAATGCATAAGCAGCAAAAAATCTAAATGTAGAAAAACAAATGCTATATTTAGCAACACTAGCTAACAGCTGAAATTAGTAAAACTGTAGCGAAAAGCTAAATATATCAAAATAGCTGATAGAAGCTAATTGCGGGCAGCTACAAATGAAATCAGCTAAACTGTAGCTAAAATAGACAAAACCTTAGCTGAAAGCTAAAATTTGCTAAAATGTAGCTACATGTTGAAAATAGCTGAACTGTAACTAAAAGCTAAGGAAGACCATAGTAGAGAAAGTTTGCAGAAGCATATTCCATTGAATATTGTTTTAGAAGAAACTAAAAGAAAACTTAATGTAATTTTATGGTGATTTTTAATTGTCAAAGTTAAACAATACAAAAAAATGTAAAAGTTATACAGACTAAAAAGCATATCTATCTATCTTTTTGTTGTTGTTGTTGTTTTGCTTTGTTTTGTTTTTTGAATGTCCAGTGGACCAGACTTAACATTTTTTATATTTTTCTACCTGGATTATTGAGCATGCATCAGGATACTAAAACTCATAGCACACTAGTCCTGACTGAGCCAAACCTTTTGAGATGAATGATTAAAATAGCAGAAAAGAATGTAGAAGTAGTTTACAGTGGTCCCTCGCTACTTCGCGGTTCGTTCATCGTGGACTCGCTCTATTGTGGTTTTTCAAAATAAAATAGGACATGACACACAATTGGCTGATGGATGGATGAGCCGCACGATTGGCATCAATTTTTTTATTTAAAATAAATTATGTTAAATTATTTAGCACCTGCGGCACATTTGTGCAGCCCTTACTGCAGGATAAGCTTCCTGCTGCAGCTGATCAGCTGTTCATTGTGCAGAGCGGAGAAGTGGGCGTGGCCAAAAACGCTTGCAGTTGGCAAAGAGCAGACGAGGCAGGGAGCTGAAATCATGACATTCTGTGCTCTTTTAGCGTTTAGAAACATTGTTTAGAATATTGCAAGAGTGTGGGAAGGGTTTAAAATGCCTTAATATATAAATACTAAAATAAACTACTACTTACTACTTGCACTACTATTCCTACTTTGCATTTTTTCACTTATCGCAGGGCTTCAGGGTACGGACCCCCCGCAATAAACGAGGGACTACTGTAAATGCAAAAATTGTACAGAAGAAACTATAATCAGGAACACAATAGTGTGAATGCTGACTCAGCAACTAATAACTAAATTAAATGAGCTGTAAACGATAGAGCACCTTCATGCGAAACACCTTCCGTCCAGATTTCACTGCGCTGTCTTCAAAGGTGAACTCATTTTCCCTGATAGTTGCCCTGCTGTCTTTGTCTCCCGTGTATGTCACCACGTAGAAATCCGGAGCCCACATCTCGAACTCTCTCTCCCAGTTGATGATTGTGGAGAGAGGTGCGCTCACCAAGAAAGGCCCCTTAGAGTGACCCTGACAGAGAGGAAAAACAAGCTCAGTCCTCTCCTGTAGTACTTCACAGAATAAAAGAAACCCACTTTAAATCGTTCATTTTCTTCCACGACCCAAACTGATTACATCCAAGTGCGTATTACCATTTATATTACAAGAATGAGCATCACCAGTTGAGCCTTTTTCATTTTGATTGGAATATGAGCATGATAAAAGAAGACACTATTCCAGCCTCACCTCTTTATACAGTGAGTAGAGAAAAACTATTGTCTGCACCGTCTTTCCTAGGCCCATTTCATCAGCCAGGATGGTATCCGTCCCCTGAGCCCAGGAAAATCTCAACCAGTTCAGACCCTCGAGCTGATATGGGTGCAGCGTTCCCCCGGTGGCGTTAATGTACCAGGGCTGGTGCTCAAACTTAATGGTTGGCTGGTGGTGTGAAAATATAATTGAGATTTTTAGATGTTATATATGCTGACAAAATGGATATCCTTAGTATGTAAAGCTTCTTACATCTATGATAGGGGCATCAGGGGGAACCTCTCTTTTTGGGTAGTCCTCTTTTAGTTTATTTCCCTTCCTTACCACAAGAGGGCGCTGGTCCTCGCCTAAAATCTGCTCTCTGAAAAACAAATGTAGAGCATCTCTTGGTGACTTACAAACACAAATGGAAGAGAGGGCAGATAGTAAACAGCAATGCTAGTTTTCATCAGCATGGAATTAGGTAGAAAGGATGCAAAATGCTCTTAATCTACCTGTGGTCCCAGTAGAAAGCTTTGTGAATGTCATATTCTGGGACGTCGAATTCATCTGCCTCCCAGGTGCACTGATCGTACGGTAGGTCTCTCCATTTGATCAGGTAATGTGCATCACCGTCCTTATCAAAACTACAGAGAGAGTCAACAAAAACAGGAAGGTTTATAGAGTTATGTTGAAATTCAGGCTTTTTTTACATACATTTTATGCACAACACTTACAGTAAAAAGTTGGGTACACTAAAAAGAAAATATGTGCATTTGAATGTAAAGTGTGCAGCTTATTTTATTACAACGTAAAAAGTTAAAATGAACTTTAGACATCCCATTTAAACTAGCTTAAACTTCGATTAGCGCTTTGCTTAAGAATTCCAGTTCCATGAAAAGTTTTTCGTTTTTTGTCTCCTGCTGACGAAAGGCGAAGGTGGACAATAATGTTTTTTTCCTGCGTGCGTTCATGTGTTAGTCTTTTACCAAAACATCTCATGAACCACTGATGAATTTCTCTGAAACTACAAAAAATAATAATCCGCGTCACCCCGATTCAAGGTGGCTGCCACAGCCAGTTGACCATAAAAACACAAAAAACGGGTACAGCTCGGTTAATATTATATATATACCGAGCTATATTTTGATATGATAGAGGGTGAGAGGCATTCAAAATCCATATTCACAATATTGCTTAAAATTAAAACATCATTTTAAAGTTTTGACCTAAATGGCTGCAGCAAAACATAAGATGATGTGAAACTCGTGGCTTCCTTTAAATAATGCCAGGCCTTTTGTTTTTACACACACACACACAACAATAAACAACAATAGAATGCAAATAAAGTAAAAAATATAACAGTAGTGTTATAAAACACAATCAAATCAAGGCGCCATATAAAACGAGGTAAAGTACTAAAATACTAAAAGCAAAAACAAATTTGATTTGATATTTCTTTTGTCGAGCACACTATCAGATCAGAGGCAATGTGTTCCACACTTCGTCTAACTATTTATCGGTCGCCAATGGTGTGCCACAAGGCTCAGTTATAGGACCCACTCTTTTTTATAATTTATATTAATAACGTAGGTCAAAACATTCCTGATGCCTCCTTGCATCTCTTTGCCGATGATACAACTGTTTATTGCTGAGCTAACACAGTTGCTAAGGTTTTCCAGCTCTTACAGTTTGCATGTGACATCAATCAGACTTGTTCCATCTCAAACTGGTGCTAAATGCTGATACAACCAAAGGGATGCTGTTTTCAAACAGAAAGTTGGTGCCAGCAGCTGTGGATTCTTACAAATTCTTGGGAATTTTAATTGATGCACACCTCTCTTTGAAGCCGCATGTTGAAAGCATGATAAAGAAACTGAAATTGAAACTGGGTTTCTTTTTCAGAAATAGATCTTGCTTAACTTTGAATGCCAGGAAACGCCGTGTAGCTGCTACTTTCCTACCAGCCATCGATTACGGTGACATAATTTGAAGGTGGTGTGAGAGGCTGTGAGTGTCAGCAGCCACCTGTGGTTGACTATCCGGTGGATGACCATCCACTCTGGTTTGATGCCGTAGCGGTAGAAGCGCTCCTCCATCACAGCATACTGGGGGTCTTTGCTCTTCCTCTTCTCGTTGTTGAGCTCCTCCTCTCCCGACCCGTAGTCGAACGGCGGCGGCTCGTCCATGTCGTTCTTCCGCTGGTAGTTCCGATACATGACCGTGTGGTACAGCTCTAACTGCACAACAGACGCAACGCAAAATGCAAGTTGAGTTGTTTTCATTGGAAAGTATTTGTTCAAAAATCTCCTAAAAATTCAACCAGACCTCGTTTAAACCCTCAAACCAGCATAAAGACAAAAAGTCTCAAAAGAGTTCAGTGAAGAAAACAAAACTAATGAAGACAAATTGGTGTTGAAATTTGAATTTCTTTGCTAAATTTAATAGTAGTGATTTATTAAATGAACTAAAAGAAGGGAGGTTTGATTCTGAATTGCATAAAATTTGTATTTTACAATGAAAACCAGTTCATACAACTTTTTAAAAACTGAAAGCACCAAAAGATAAGTGAATAAACGTGCCTATGTCTTCAAAGCAGGCACGTTTTTATTGTTGCCAAATGTCAGTTTGACACTGGTCCAACTCCTCACCTGCAGCTCGCTGACCCAGGAACAGTGCCAGTACGAAAGGCCAGCCCACTTCACGAAGAACTCCCTCTCTGAGCGTCCCTTGAGCGGGGGCTTGGTCAACGGATCGGTCGGTTTGCCATCAGGGCCTGGAGGCGGCTCCGCTGGCAGCGGGGGCTCTCCCCACCTCCAGTGCAGAATCCTCTGAACTTTACCTTTAAGAGGCGGACACTGAGACGAAACACAGACAGTCATAGTTTAAATTGACTTAAATATTTTATTAGACTTTTGGTTTTGTCAGCTGCTCCCTTCGCCACAGTGAACTAACTCGACTTGGCACTGGTTTTTAAACTAGATGTCCTTCCTGACACAACCACAGACCACCGAGCTACCACAGCCCTCTGTGTGGAGCAGAGAGCTGCCATCTAGGGTGCCCGGGGAGCAGAGGGTGCGGGTTAAGGGCCTTGCTCAAAGGCCCAGAGTGGGGGCAAATGAGGGTGGAGGAAGGTGTGGGTGTTTCACCTTTACCATCGATATTTTTTGTAAATGTTGTCAGTCTGGGGAGTCAAACCGGCAACCTTCTGATCACAGGCCCACCTTCTCTAACCTCTTCACCACCAATCCTCCATCACATATAAAAAAAATAATGTTTTTATTAACTCTATGGAGCTAAATTACTCTAAAGTTCTTTGCAAAAGAGTTCTTCAAATAAGAAAGGTGAACATCTTGAAAGAAACGATGACCACATCCTGTAGATCGGGGTCTGCAACCTTTACCATGAACAGGTGGACTGTCCATTCCTGCCCCTTTGTTCACTACATTAAACGTGTCCGGAGACGCAACACCTGCCACAACTGGGATTCTCAACTGGTGGCCCGCGGACCACTTGTTGGAGGGCGCTTCTCTGGCCAGTAGGGGTGATTTTATTAAACTAAAAATATCTCGTGATTTTTAACATTTAGTGATATTTTTACATTTTAAGACGAAATGAAAGACGAGATTCTTGTAAAGAAGGAAAAAAATAATATAGTTTTTGCCCAATTTCTAAAGAAACAAAACAATAAACTATGCAGACCTATGGGATTTTTTTTATTGTAGAAAAATTAAGTATTCTACTTTGAAGAAATAAAGCGTAAAGTGAAAGCGAGTATGTTTTACTCCTTGTAATGTTTTTAGTATTCGCATATTTGTAAAAGAAATTACAAGAAAACTGCTAAAACTAGCCCTTTTAGTTGTTGTTATACAACTGGTTGGTTCTCTATCTTTCAGATTGGAGCCAATGTGTTCAACATAATGGTATTTCCTCCAGTTATTTAACAGTCAACTATGGTGTACCACAAGGCTCAGTCTTAGGACCCACCCTCTTTACAATCTACATGGGTAATGTGGGTCAGAGCATCCCTGATGAATCCTTACATTTCTATGCTGATGACACAGTTGTTTATTGTCGAGCTAAAACAGTTGCAAAGGTTTTCCAGCTTTTGCAATCCGCTTTCGACATCATCCAGTCAGATTTGTTTAGTCTCAAACTTGTCCTAAACACCAACAAAACCAAAGGGATGCTTTTTTTCAAACAGGAAGTCAGTCTCAGCAGTTCTTCCTTTGATTTTATCCTCAATTGGTATCCCTATTGAGTTTGTTGATCCCTTCAAATATTTGGGTATCTTGATCGATTTGCATCTCTCTTTTAAGCTCCATGTGGAAAACCTAGTAAGGAAACTGAAAGTTAAACTGGGTTTCTTTTTCAGAAATAGATCCTGTTTAACTCTGAATGCTAGGAAACGCCTTATATCTGTGACTTTCCTTCCCTCCATTGACTACGGTGACATTATTTACATGAACGCTCCTACAAGCACCCTGCAGATGTTGGATGCTGTCTATCATGGTGCATTAAGATTCATAACTGGCTGTGATTATCGTACCCACCACTGCACCCTGTATTCACTGGTTAAATGGACATCATTAACTTCACGCAGACTCTCTCACTGGTACATTTTCATCTTTAAATCACTTCTTGGTCTGCTGCCTTCATACATCTCCTCCTACATGTCTCTGCGTGAGTGCAGCTACAGCGTGCGCTCTCAGAACATTATTACCTGCAGTGTTCCCTCAATGAGGACTGGACTGGGCAAAAGGGCCTTCTCCTACTCCGCTCCTGTTTCCTGGAATATCTTGCATAAAGATCTGAAGCTCTTGACCTTGACCTCTCTTAGGGACTTTAAACATCTGTTAAGTTCCTGGCAAGAACCAATGCAGACGTGTTCCTGTTTTTAGTTTTCTACACCACCTTATAACCTAGATGGGGGGTTTTTTGGCTACTTTTCTTTTAAATTTTCCTTTTAATTACCAGTTTATTTTCACTTGTTTTGTTTTTTGTATGTGTCCTTTAGGATTGTTTACTGTTATCATCACGGTTTGATAAAATCGGGTCTCTCCTGTAAATGAGTTCCCGAGGCTCAGTGGGATTAACCTGTATAAATAAAGGTTGAACGAACGAACGAATGAATATAACAACCAATATAATTCAGTTTTATGTTAGTTTTGGTCAAAGCTTGAAAGAGCAGCTGTGGAGGAACCAGCATGTAGCTCCAGAGCCGCAGGTTGCAGACCCCTGCTGTAGCTGTAAACAAAAGTTTCAACAGGATGTTTCTACAGAATCATACAACAATAGATTAAGTTCAAACAAATGTACCGTTGGGATGATAAATAAGCTTAGGCTGACCATAAAACGGATCTATTTGTAGTAATTGTGACATACATTTTGTGTAATAAAGACGAGCTCACCATGCAGCGAGGACACAGCCACTCCCCGTTTGGGATTTCAGGAAGAGGCGGGTTGAGGCAGTGGATGTGGTAGGACGACGGGCAGGTGTCGCAGCACAGAAGCTCTCCTCCATCTTTACACACTCTGCAGAACTCCATGTGGTCATCCTCCTCCTCACCTGCAGCTTCCTCCTCATCGTCCTCTTCATCTTTGGCCTCCCACTGGATTCCCTCCTTCTCCTGAGGATCACGGAGTCCACGAGCACGTTGGGAAGAAAAGATGAGCCAATTTAACGCTATAGTTTCTTATTTTACATAAATATTCTAATCACGGCAGCCGCCGATCATTGATGAATAAATAAATTAGAATAAATTAGCACTGACTTGTTAACAGAATCTTTAAAATACATGATCACAAAAATCAAATAATTAAAATCAATGACCAAATGTAATTAATAAACAATTAACTAACTAATAATAAACTACTATAGACGTACTGCCACCCAAACAATGTTTCAGCACCATCGCTAAGTGTATCTAAGAGCGTCAGAAACATTTACTTTTGTGAAATAGATCACATTTCTTGCTTTTCTTGTTTATTTTCAAATGACAATAAAACGCGTCTGCTACACAAACATTTTCCTTCTCATGTCCAGAATATGTTTCATCCCATATCTCATGCAAAAAGTCTCATTAATGAGCATCTAAGTATTAAAATAAAATGCTTTTTGAAACGTTTGACTGTGCTTACACAGTGTGGACAGCTCCACTTTCCCTCCGGTGCTTTCTCCAGCTCCGGGTCCAGACACACCAGGTGGTAGGCTCTTGGACAGGTGTCACACAGGATGATTTCTCCCCCCTGCTGACAAACCTCACAGTAGTCCTGGTGGTCTGTCTCATAGCCGTCACCGTCCTCCTCTAGCAAAGGTAAAAGAATACTTAACGGGCAGTTCTGACATGCACACGTCAACTGAACTACATCAAGGGTGTCCACACGTTTTCATCATGCGAGCTACTTTTAAAATGACCGAGTCAAAGGCCCCGTTTACACGAGAGCAACCTCTGGAGACGTTAGTGTTTTTTCAATGTTTACTGGGGGTAATAAATAAAAAATTAGCAGGTTTACACAAAAACGCTTTAGCTTCCATGTAAGTTGGGTTGCCAGATAAGAAATTATGAACTATAGTACTGTGGCTTTAAAATGATAGTATTTTGACCTAAACTGTCAACATATATGCCGAGTAACAATATTCTAAGATGAGGTGTGTGTTGTGTTTGTTGAACATGTGCACAGAAAATAAATAAGACATTTTAAATTTATCTGGCAACCCTGATAGCTGCATTCATCGTCCATGCTGCATCTGAATGAGTTACTTCCAAACTTGTGAATACACCAACGTCTCTTTGGACCCTGGATTTCATTAGTTTTGCTCCTACGTGCTGAAAAAGGGTGAGCAGCACAAAAAACACTCTGCTCTCTGCCATTTATTACAACTGTTGTTGGTGCAGACAAACTTTGGACTGCAGCCGCCTGTAGTGAGCAACTTCACACTTGCGGAGAATTTCACACTTCTGTGTGGGGTTCCCCCTGAAAATCTCTGAGACCTGGATTCAGAAACCTTCAGTTTCAAAGAGAACGATGGTTGTTGTCGTGTAAATGAACAGTCGAATGTTTCACGTCGTGTAAACAGGACTGTCTGTCAGTTAAGTGACACATTTCATAGTGAGGATGGATGATGGGTATTTTTTTTAACGCCATGCGATCTACCTATAATACCTTTCCGATTGACCGGTAGATCACGATCAATGTATTGGGCACCCCTGGTCTACATGTATGTAGGTACAGCATGGACTGTATTTAGGTATTTATAGGCTGCCGCCAAACCTGAATAAACTTTTGGTAACAGCTGCTGCAAAAGACTGTCAGAAACCATTCTCTGAATAAATAAACAAATAAAAAGTTGCTTTTTTATTACTGTACCTCATCATTATAGCCATCAGACAGTTTGGTTTTGAGGCTTCAGAGGGATTTTGGAGAAAACACCACAGAGCCTAGAAAAAGAAAATGGTAAACGTACTTTTCCTTTTTTTCCGCCCACGCCGGGCCTTTTTCCTGGTGGCGGCTCCCAGAGTATCAGAAAGCACAGAGGCACTGTGGATGCTGATGTCATCAAAGTCCGACTCCTCCAGAAAGTCCTCGTCACTCTGAAAAATAAAAATAAAAACACAAAGTGAAGAGCTCGAAGCAACACACAATTTCAAATATATATATATTTTTACAGTCAGTCGGTATATTAACCCGTTAGGTTACATTTATTTCATTAAACATGCAGGGCTGACATAATGAGAAGGTAAATAATCTGGAGGTAAACAGACATGAAAAATAAAAACACATACCGAGGAGGCTTTCTTCTTCTTCCCACTCTGACCCAACTTTGATTTGTTCTTTTTGGGCTTCGGTTTCTTCTTTGCTTCTTTCACAGTCTTGTTTTTCTTTCTTACTCCTGGTCCTGAGACAGACATCACGTGTGTTAAGCAGGTACCAAGCACTGATACTGATATAGCTTTTATTTTAGCCAATTAAACATTATTATAACATTATTATTCATCATTATTAAATTGCATTCCTTGAAGAAATGCAAATCTCCCACCGACTTCCATCTCATGCTGAGAAACGATGGAGTTGTAGCTGTTTTGATCAGACCTTGAAAATATTATGTGTGATCTCATGATGTTGTGAGGTCAGAGTACGAGTTGGAAATGACTCAACAACTACCACAACCATTTTTATACAAATATCAGTTAAACTGACTGAGATATAGATGTTTTTGGTGGCTAATGCAGATTAGTCGTGGTGGGGCATCTTGAATTGGACTGACTCCAAATAGTAATCTGTTGTACCTTTTTGCATAAATTAACATGCCCTGCGACTTATACAGTGAAGCGACTTATTTATGTTTTTTTCCCATAATTATAACCCAATTTTTGGCTGTGAGCTGGAGATTTCATTCATTCTGACATGAAAAATATTGAACAATACCATTTTCAGCCACTAGATGGCGATCGAGTACTATGGCAAGCCAAGTGTCTCATTAATCGGTAAAAATGGCTATTAATGAGACACTTGGCTTGCCATACTAAGCCACCTTAGTCTCGCTCCAGAACTCCTGGAGCAAACGTCATATCAGCTGCATTTCGCCGCGCTGCCCATGCGAAATGCAGCTGATTTGACCGTTAAAGTGCATTTATTAAGGAAAAGTTAAACTGAGACACAACTTTGCTATAATTTCGAGCAAACAAATAATTGTTCTTAAGTGTTAATCTTGTTCAATTCTTGTTAAAGCCCTCTTGTGCATGCTCCCACTACTGCCATTTGACAGCCAATCGATTTTTGGCACAACACCAGCCCACGTTTCCGGGTGGTCAGCAGTGATGCGCGTAACAAACGTGACGTGTCAGCGGTGATGCATAATAGATGCGACTTATGCGGTGAAGGGACGTATTTATGTTTTTTCCACTTTATTAGACTTATTTGGACTGATGCGACGGATGCGACGGATGCGACGGATGCGACGGATGCGACTTATACGATGGTGCGACGTGTACGCCGGAAAGTACGGTAAATGTTCATCCAGTGGTTACTGTTTGGGAGTTTCCTTCAGATCTGTCCACTGGCTCATGGGAAAATTTGCTAAAATGGAAACGTATATGGGCAAAAATATTTTTCCTCTGCTTTTGCCTTCAGCAGAGGGTGATGAAAAAATTTAAGTAACTAGAGAAATTGCATTTCCTAAGAAAAGTAGTGCAGTGTGGATGCTTATTGCTGAAGAACTTGCTGAAAAACAGCTGAAATTAGCTAAAAACATGCTGAAATGTAGCTGAAATTGAAGAAAAAAACCTAAGTTAGCAGAGGCAAGCAAAAAGAACACAAATTTGCTTAATCAGGTTTAAATAAGCCAAAATGAGCATAAAAATTAGGAAATAAGCTAAAAAAGGCTGAAATTAGCAACAACAAAAAAAGCCAAAAAGTAGCTGAAAAGGCAGAAAGCAGCTTAAACTACAAGAAGGAAGGGGAATTAGCTGAGCTCCAAAAATGTGGAAATAGCTGGAAAAGCTCAAATTGGCATGAACAGCTAAAAAGTAGCTGAAATAACAGAAAAACTTTAAACTAGAGGAAATAAGCTGAAACAAGCATAAAAAGCTGAAATTAACAGAAAGAAGTTAATTACCATAGGCTGAAAGTAGCAGAAAATATCACAAATAAACTTGAATTTATGTGAAAACAGCTAAAACTTGATTAAAAATATTAAAAAGTTAGCTGAAAATGTAGAACAAGCTTAAATTAGCAGAACGAACACGTTTGCTCAATTTGGCTGAAAAATGCAGAAATTGGCACAAAAAAGTGGAAATTGTCTGAAAAAAGCAAAAATGATCAAATAAAACAGCTAAAAAGTAGCTAAAGAAGCAGAAATAAGCTTAAATTACTATAAGGAAGTGGAGAGAGCACAATTTAACCCAATTAGGCTAAAAATGTTGAATTGACTGCAAAAAACGTGGAATTAGTTGAAAAAGCTAAAATTAGCATTAAAACAGTTAAAGTAGCAGAAAAAGCTGAAACTTGTAGAAACAAGTGAAAGGAGCATAACAAGCTGAAAATAGCAGCTGAAATTAGCTGAAATAAAATTTACAACAGCAGAAGGAAGCTGAAAGAAGCTGAACCGTTACTGAAAGGAGCAGTAAAATGTTGTAAACGCATCAAAAGATTTGAAGGATGTAAAATGAGCTCAATTCATTTAATATGAGGAAAAAATGGCAGAAAAGGCTAAATATTTCAAACAGCTAAAGTTGAACCAATACCAAAAGTCATAGCAGGATTGTCCTGAAAGAGCTGAACGTTTTGATTTACGATTTGTTGAAATAGCTGAAAACTGCAAGACGAGGATCGCGAAGAAAAATGGATCGCGACAGAGTGAACGCTTCATAAACATTCACATAATTAAGTAAATGAATAAATAAAGACAAAGTTTGAATTGAGTTCAAAGACAAGAACAGGAAAGATGCTAATATTCCAAAGAGCGTGCCACAGTTCAGTGGGTCTCACCTTTTCCTTCTTTGGTTTTGGCTTTTTTGATTGGCCCTTGCTGGGAGCTCAGCTGGCTGCTGCTGACAGATGTTGGCTGAGCTACAGTGACTGTTTCCACGGCGGCAGCCACCGCGGCGGCCACAGCGGTGGCAGATGCGCCTTTGAACGGGTTGTTGGCACTGAACTCGCGCCACTTGGCCCCTAACACCGTCATCATCTTTGACATGGGAATCTTCGGATTCTTCTTGGCAATGAGCGGCCTGAGCACAGCCACGGGGAAAGGAGACAACAACAGCAGCTTTATTATGTCACATTTCATTTCTGTGGGTGTAATTTTCTCTCCACACAGCACTGGAGGGAACTGGGTCCTGATTTGTTGACACTCCGCTGCTCCTTAAGTTAGCTTTTCTGTGCTTCGCTGTGAGTATGTCATGTTAAAGATCTGTCAGGCAACAGCTTGAGGTTTGGCATGCTGGCCTGAGAAAGATAGCGGGTCAGAGCACTGAGTCCCAGAGCCTCCCGGCTGTCAGGAGCATCCAACAAGCAGCTGATTGCACACGAGGGGGGGCACCACAGGAGCTCATGCTCCACTTTGTCAGAGCAGGGGCTTAGCCGAGCCAGACAGCCCCAGGTGAGGCACTCTTTATAACAACAGCCGAGCTTTTTAGCTCAAACAAAAAGAGCGGTGTCACACTACACTCTGGTCTCTCTCAGGGAGACTCGCTGGAGGAGTCTCGGCTGAGAACTCTGACAAATCGCAGAAGGTGATCCAAAGCAAAGTGGATTATCACACTGTGGGGAGATAACGCAGAGAGTAAGGTGGTTACCTAAGGAATTGGCTGAAAGCCTTGTAGTTGGTGATAGTTTTGTAGTCGTCCTCAGTGAAGCTGTACTGAACGTCCTCCAGACCCCATTCATGCATCAACTGGCTGGAGGACTTGGGTTCCTGCAGGGGCAAAGACGAGCCGATTACTAAATAAATTAAAGGTCTAGCATTGCTTGCAGAAATGCATTTTGTACGTCACCATTTGTGCCAGAGTGCTAAACTAAGATCATCTTATGTTGAGAAGGGACTGAGTTATAGCCACTTTAGTCAAACATTGTAAACGATACGTGCAATTTCATATGAGGTGTGTTAGCAATCAGAGTACAAGTTGGGGATGACTCTCAGCTACAACCACATCAAACTTTAGCTGATTCACTTTTAGCCACTTTGTGTTCGCTGATGTCAATTAGCTGTAGCAGCTGTTATGAATCCGTGTGCCTAACAAATTAATCTGTAGATGTACAGTCAGCGCTTAGTTTCTGAGAGTTTTATCCAAGTTAAGTTCATCCAGTGGTTTATGAGATATTTTGCTAACAGAAAACCATGGTTGACCACCATTTAATGCCAAAGATTTAAGCAAAAATGTCATGCAATAAGTAGCACATGGAGTGTTTTAGCTAAGAAAACACCTCATTTTAGTTAATCTGTAAAATTAACGGTTACAGCTAGCTCTGTTTGGTGGTGTTGATTAGCCGTGGCAGCTATCGCTAACTGGGTTGACTTCAAAGGGTTTTCAGTCTTACATGCACATCGTTTGATTACTTTCTGAAAGTTTTAATAAATACACTAATAACATAATTGTATATGTTTTGAAGAATGCAGGTTGTTTAAATAAGTGTCAAATGTATACCTCACATCTTACATGACTTCTGCATTTCAAAAGCTGCACAGTAGTCCAGGTCATCTGGACGGTTTCTTTTTTGTGGAAAGAAGTTTTGCTCTTTTTCCAGAGGGCTTCATCAGTCTGAGGAGTCCCAAGTAAACTGTTTTCCCCACCAAACAGTACACTCCTTAAGTGGTCCACCCAGTTTGCTGGCGAGACAGTAAGATGGTTTCTGGGGGCTGTCCTGTCCCCGTCAACTCCTCCCAGGCAGGCACGGCAAAAGTGGTTCAAGACATCAAAGTTCATGCTCAATCATCCAGGTGCAAAATTAAAAAAAATGGTCAAATGGTCTTTCCACCAAACAGAAACAGTCCAGGTGACCTGACTGACCATTTTTGGATTTTGTACCTGGATGATTGAGCATGAACTTTGCTGTGCAGTAGTCCCTCGCTACTTCGCGGTTCAACTTTCGCGTTTTTTTAAATTAAGAGTGGACATGACACACAATTGGCTGATTGATGGATGAGCCATGGATTGTTTATTTAAAATAAATTATTTTAAATGATTTAGCACCTGTGTGCAGCCCACAGGTGCAGGGAGAAGCTCCCTCTGCAGCCTGTCACGCTCTCCTCGCTGCCACACACACATCCCTGCGGCGTGCTGCAGCTTTGTGAAGGGTTAACCCTTTGCTGTCCAGCTGCACCGATCGACTTTTGTCGTCCAACTTAAAATTCAAAGTACGTCACGTCGTAAAATCGTCATAATCACAAAATATAAAAGTGTTAAAAGTTTTTTTCTTATTATTTTAGAACTTCGGGCAGCACGGTGGCGCAACTGGTAGAGCTGCTGCCTCTCAGCGAGCAGGTCCTTGGTTCAAACCCTGGTCCAGGGGCCTTCTGGGTGGAGTTTGCATGTTCTCTCCGTGCATGCGTGGGTTTTCTCCGGGTACTCCGGTTTCCTCCCACAGACCAAAAACATGCATGTTAGGCTGATTGGTAACTCTAAATTGTCCCTAGGTGTGAGTGAGAGAGTGAATGGTTGTTTGTCTCGTTTGTCTCTATGTGTCCCTGTGATGGACTTGCGACCCGTCCAGGGTGTACCCCGCCCCTCGCACAGTGATTGATGGACATGGGCACCAGCGACCCCCGTGACCCAAAATGGAATAAGCGGGTAAAGAAAATGGATGGATGGATTTTAGAACTTCTATGTTCAGTTGTTACAGTGTAAGTGATCAAGACGTACATTTCTGCTGCGTGCTGCATCAGCTGCGTGAAGGGTTAACCCTTTGCTGTCCTGCTGCACTTCTCTTCTCTACAATTACAAGAATGCAATATTTTCAACAAACAATCCATGATGCATTGATTGTTTATTTAAAATATCATAGTATTTAAATGTAACTTGTTTATTTACACAGAAGGAGGGAGATTGGAAGTGAAACTTGGACTACTGTATCCCTACTTAGCGGTTTTTCACTTATCATGGAGGGGCGTGGTCCCCTAACCCCCGTGATAAACGAGGGACTACCGTTCACCATTCTGGAAATTTGCACAAGTTTAACATGTTTGTCCAATGCAAAGAAGTTATTTGTCATGAAGCCCACTGCGTCCATTTTTAAATCTTAAAGCTTGAGCTTGTACGTGCTAAACCAGAGCTGAATAGCTTTATTAAAGATTAAAGTGTCCATTCTATTGTCGCTGAATTGTGACAGATAATCTGGGATAATAAATCAGGTTCCTCTGCTTCCTACTTTTGGAGTCCTTTGGGATAATCCGCAGAGCCGGACTGAAAGCAAGCAGCAGGAGTCAGAGGACGGCTCTACCTGCAGTCCGTCACTGCCACCTCACAGGCGTCATGGCCGTTCGCTTGAACACAAAACGAAAACTTTTTCTTCTGGTTTAAGCACAGCAGAGAGGGAGCAGGAGGAAGCTACATTCTGGCAGATTTTAAAGCCGAGCGAGTCCCTCTCTTTCTAAACAACGTTGCTGTTTTATTTTTGTTATCAGTTATTTTTTTAACGGCTTTAAAGTTCGTCAAAAACAATAAATCAGGTCAAATGTTTATACATTTACATTTAATACGTATGTGTGAATATAACCTACATGCAGCAGTATTAACATCATGAATGTGTTTTTTAATAACAGAAAATCACACCGAACAAAATGCTTTTATTTAAAACAGAACGTGCTGCATAGGCGTTCAACTAGTTTAACTTTGAGCTACAACCTGCTAGCCTTTTGCTAATTTTAGCTTCCAGACATTTTGCTACTTTTAACTAGTTTTTAAAACAACAATTAGCTTTTAGATAGCATTTTGCTATTATTAGCTTTTGGTTAGTGTTTTGCAACTTTTGACTTTTATCTCTTCATTTGCTTTTCCAACAATGTTCAGTCAATTCATCTGGATGGCTTCTTTTGTTGCTGAGACGTTTCGTCCTTCATCCAAAGGACTTCTTCAGTCTGAGCCACCAACAAACTGAATCCCACAAACAGCTCACTCCCAGAGTGGAAAAAAACAGTTTACTGGCGATATGATGACCTTCGGTGTCCTTCGGATGAAGGATGAAACGTCTCGGCAACCCGACTGAACATTGCTGGATTTACACCTGGATTAATGAGCATGGTCTTTGGTCCTTTGCTTATTGTTTAAATTAGCGTTTTGCTTCTTTTAGCTTAAAGAACTCCGTTTCGACTTCACCAAATTCCAGCAGTCGTTCAGCTCTCAGTGTTCATTGAGCTTTTTTTTAATTTAAATACATGTTTAAAGTTAATATCTATATTTAATTCCGTTCAGTTTATTTATATAGCACCGAGTCACAACAGAATTAATCTTAAGGCACTGAACAGAAACATTCATGCACGAAAAAAAAAAAGCCAGTTAGTAAAAGTTATCTCTCTAAGGAAGCCAGCAGTGAATCCACTTCGTCTCCCATTTAAGAAAATAACAAGATGTGATGGTTTGTAGGCTCAGTCATCCAGGTGGCTCAGTCATCCAGGTGGCTCAGTCATCCAGGTGGATGACAACAAAAGGTTAAATCATGTCATCTGGACCCGTTTCTTTAAGGGAGAAACGTGATCGTCATCAAAACTGTGACCTTAGACCTACTTTCATGTTGCCGTCATCATCGTTATCATCGTCGTCATCCTCATCTCTCTTTTTCTTCCTGGGCTTCTTCTCCTTGGGTTTTTTCTTCTTCTTTTTGGCGAGGCCGTACGCGCTGCTCTCGCTCTCAGAGCCGATCTCGGGGCATTCCCGTTCCTCCTCCACCTCCGAGGTCTCGTCCAGGTCACTGTCCACTCTTGTCTGGAGTCCTCCCTGGTCCATCAGACACAGACAGAAAGAAAAAAAAGTTCACCGATTTACTAAACATGGAATTATTTCATAATCCTCCATTCACAATAAAAAAAACAACTAAGCCACATCTTTTATGTATTTACGTAGAGCTTCTGGCTAAAATTAATCGTAAAAAATCAAAATAAACTGGAATCTAAATTGGGCTCTTCACCTCTGCTAACTGCCAAAACTATATTTACAAATCACAACAGCACGGCAAAGAGAACAACTTAAAAGACAGATGTTGATCGCTCAAGGAAAGCTCGCTTTAGTGAGTTAATCATGATGTCAGACCTGGTGATGCTCAACAAAAAGGTCAAAAGAGGAAAAAATGAACACCGGCACCTCAGACAGGCTGCAGACTGCATGTTGAATTTTAAAGTCCTCAGACATTTCATCTTACTAATAAAAAATTAAACTGAACACTTCATTTTGCAGTCCATCACAGCCTAAGCTGCATGGTGCCTGTTTAAAATGGGACATCTGGAGGGCTGTATGGATTTAACAGCGAACAGGTGTTGTTTGTGTGATCAGGAGAGCTGCACATGAACAAACCCGCTGGAGGTTGCTTATAGTCTGTGTGAGGAAACACAGAGAGAGAGAAGTGACTGCTTCTTCTTCTTATCCATCCAAAACCACAATAACGGTGCATTTGTGTGTTGCGGGTTTTTGCAAAGCTAAATATCGGTTTGCAGACGTGAGTCTTAATGGATCCCTCCTTCATGCAAACGTTGTTGTGTCACTAAATCCACATCGGTGCTCAGGTTTATGTGTGTGCTTGTAGTTTTTGGATCTTTTCTTTGTGATCTGTGTATGATGCACGACTGGTCGTGTGCATGCACGAAGAAAAGGAGTGGAATGAGTGCACGGGGGCCGTGTGCTCAGCTCACTGCCTGTTGCTCTGCAGGCCCGTGTGGCTCCGTGGAGAGACTTGCAGGCGTTTTGCTCCGTAGCGCAGTGTTAAGGCTCACATTGCTGCAGCGCCCGCCAACCCTACCGGCAGCCTTGCTGTGTTGCCATGGTGACCAAATCTGAGCAGTGTTTGGCTCACTCTCGCTCTTTCTAGTTTTGCCCCCCCCCCCCCCATTCCTCATCTTCTTCTCACTTTCTCTCCTTTACATCTCAAAACTGCCCTCTCATCCCCCCAGCTTTTTTTGTATTTCTCTTTCTCTCAACTTCTCCCTTTTTCTTTTTCTTCTTCCTCTCTTTCATTCTATCAATCCACCCCACCCCACCCACACACAAACACACACACACACTATCACAGTGGCAGCCAATGGAACGGCGCCATCCAATCAGACACGTTTGCATAACGAGTTTGTTATGCAGAGGCCTGTGGTTGCGAAGCTGCTGCTCCAGCTCCCGTCTAGACAAATCTCATTTATGCATAAGAAGATGGAGAGAGCGAGAGAAAGAGAGAGCAAATTGAAGATTGTGGATGGGGGATGGGGTAGAGATGGAGGTGGAGGAAGGAAAAGCAAAGAACTGAATCAGTGAGAGTAACCACAAGGACGAGCTGGAACTGCGGCAGCTACAACCTCGTGGTGGCCCAGAGTTCGTCGTTAAACACGTAAAAAGATACAACAATAAAAAAACATAAATCTTCAGCAGAGCAGCAAAAAGGCTGCTTCTGCTTTCAAACTGAAGAAAATCAGATAAGTGCAGATGCGGTAATCGAATTAAAGACTTTCCCTTAATGTTTCCCCCCTTAAGGAGTCTGAAAAGGATGCCACAAAAAATTATAAACGAGTAAAAAAGAAGAAACGTAATAAAATTTGGCTTAAAGAGGAAATGAACCCCAACTCCAACAAAGTTGGGCCGTTGTGTAAAATGTTTTATATCATCTCATAAACCCAGAGATCACAATGTCATCTGCAAACATAATAGTCCACGGGGATTCCTGCCTGATCTCATCTGTAGTCGGTCCATCACCAGAGCAAACAAGAAGGGGCTCAGAGCTGATCCTTGATGCACTCCCACCTCCACCTTGAAGATACCTGTCACTCCTACAGCACATCTCACCACTGCCCTGCTGTCCTCATGTCCTGTACCAGTCTAGCATACTTCTCTGCCACTCCAGATTTCCTCGTGTAATACCACACCTCCTCCCTCGACACCCTCCCTCAGGAACAGAAATTGTTTTTTTGTTGACTCACAGATCCAGAGAGGTGAAGCCATAAAACAGGATGGCTACTCATTCTAACTAACTTGTTCAAGCAGTGCTCGCTCTGTTTCATGGAGGTCTCACTGTGGCCGAGGTGCACCGTTTTCTATCTCTAATAAAAATGTTTTCAGAAATGCAGCCTTGCTCAAATACAGACCAATTCTCTGCTGCTGCCGGTCCTCCTGCCAGCAGCTCTGACCTCAGACTGGGACGCACCGCTGACAGTTTCTGAACCCAATTGACTTTTGGACCTCGTCCCACACTGACGTCTGGGGAGTGATTGGAAGTGAATTACAGCATCAGAGGGAGCTCAGAGGGAGGGAGGAAGGAGGAAGGGGGAGGGAGGGAGGAAGGAAGGACAGAGGGAGGGCGGAAGGGAGGGAGGGAGGGAGGGAGGAAGGAAGGACAGAGGAAGGACAGAGGAAGGAAGGAAGGAAGGAAGGAAGGAAGGAAGGAAGGAAGGAAGGACAGAGAGAGGGAGGAATGAAGAAAGGAAGGAGGGAGGGAGGTATGGAGAAAGGGAAGGAAGAATGGAAGGAAGGAATGAAGGAAGGAAG